GCGCGCGGCCAGCGCCCAGGACCAGGGCGACAGCGGCGTTCCGAGTCGAGATGGCGGCCCGCGCTGAGGCGAGAACAATCATCACAATCGCGCGCGCGGCCGGCGCCCATGCGAAAACAGCGTTTTCAATAAAATGTGGCCAGTGCCGCGCCGAAAACGCCTGGGCGACAGCGACGCAATTCATCAAGCGTGCGACCGGCGCCGCAGCGAGAACAACATGCTCAATGAAAGATGTGGCCGGTGCATGGGCGGCTGCAACACTTTCCGTCAGACGCGCGACAGGTGCCACAGCGAGAACGACGCGCTCAATAGAGGATGTCGTCCGCGCCGAGGCAACAATGACACTTTCAATGAGACATGTGGCCTGCGCCAAAGCGAGAAAGACATGCCGAATGAAGGATGTCGTCGGCGCCCAGGCGACAGCCGCATTTTCAAGTCAAGATCTGGTCAGCGCCGAAGCGAGAACGACACGATCAATGAAGGATGTCGCCAGCGCCCAGGTGACAGCAGCACCCTAATATGATAGTTGACTGGCGCCAAGGCGAGGACGACATTTCCAATGAAGGGCGTCGCTGGCGCCCGAGCGGCAGCCGCATTTTCAATCGGAGATGCGGCCCACGCACAAACGCGCTCAGTGAGGAATGTCGCTGGCGCCTAGGCGGCAGAAGCATCTTTAATCAGAGATGTGGCCCGCGCACAAGAGAGCATCATGTCGAGACGAGCGCGTCGCCAGAATGCAGGTGTCACGCCCATTCCGCGCGGGCTGGGCCGGCGCCACCGAAGTCCGGGCTGCGTTAGGTGGGAAGTCCACGTGATGAGAGGGGGGATTGCAGCTGGCACAGCGGCGCGGGCGTTGACGTCGCTTACCGAATGTCGCCCTCGCTGTGGCCCCAGCGTGAAAGCGCTGTCCACTGTGGCCCAGCGCTGCGGTGTCGGTGATGGTGGCGCTGCGGATGCTGCCGGAGCCGCGGGCGCCGTCGCCGCTGCGCCCCCCGCTCCTGCCGCGCGGACTGGCAACGTAGTCGACCTACCCGTCGGCCGAGCAGAATCCTGATGCGCGCGCCCCCATCCCCTGGCGCAATGGCCGAATGTCGGCCCCGCGATGGGTTGGGCGAAGCCGATGGAGACGATGGGGCGCCCGCCCAACTTGACCAATGGCTCTGGCCAACTGCCTGCCAGAAGCCGCCGGGCGACGCGCTGGGCGCTGCTGCTGTTGATGCCGGCGCTGGCGCTGGCCGCCTAACTGCCGAAGATGGAGACGGCTGTGCGCCGATCAATGAATGGATCGGCTCTCTGCGTGGGGCCACCGCTACTGGGCCCCAGAACCGCAGGTTCGGTTCGGGCGTCCCGGTCCCCCTGCTCATCTAGACCGACTAGGCACCTGGTGCTGGTTGTTGAGCGGCTGGTCTAGGCGCTGCGCGCAAGCGGCGAGGGCGCCCGCGTCGGCGGCGGCGGCGCTGCCGAGGCTGGCGCGTCGAAGGAGAGGGCGCGCCCTTGCCGGCGCCGACAGGGGCGATCGCGCGCGAGGTGCTCCTCTGAGTCGCAGACTCGCGGCACTCGAGACGCGCCCCGCCTGGGCCCAGCGGGTTGTCTCGTCGGCTGGGCCACAAGCCACCAGTCCAATGCTTGCCCTTTCCCTCGCCAGCGCGCCCCCCGAAGCCGGCGACGGTTTCGCGGAGGTCGTTGCCGGGCGTGCCGGCCAAGAAGGCGCGGTGGCCTTCTTCGCGGCCTCTGACTGAACGTGCGATGGCCCTCTGCGCGCGGCGCGCGGGCTCGCTGTTGTTGAAGCGGCGCCCTCGGGACTTGGCGCGCTCGCGGGCCCGCGCGAGGCGCGCGCCGCGCTGTCCCCCATGGGGACCTCGCGCAGCTCGGGGCGGTCGGCAGCGGCGTCTTCGCCGAGTGAGCCGACGGCGCCGGAGTCGGCGCTGGAGTCGAAACCTGCGGCCAGGGGCGCCGCCCGCGGCGATGCTGCGCTGGCGTTTTCGGCAGCCGGCGACGCAGGCGGACTCGGTGCCGCTCCAAGGGTTGAAGTGCCCATGCCATCCCAACTCGATCCAGCCCCACTGCCAAATGCACTCTGATCTCCGTCGCGCGCGGGCGCGCGCGCGCGAGGAACGCGCGGCGCTGGGGCGAATTCGCGGCCGGGGCGGGATTGCCCGGCGAACCTTCGATCGCGTGTCCAAAATCTGCGCAGCTGGTCCACCGCGCGCCAGCTGTGGCGCGCCCGTCGGGCAGGCCACGTTGGATCGCCGCCCGCGGCGTGCAGCTGGATGTTCGCCGCGCCCGCCGCGCGCAGCAATAGGCAGCTCGGACCCTCGTCAAAGATAATGAGTTGACCGGCATGCCTCGCCCTGTCGCGGAGGATGTCGAACCTGGCGAGGAGGTTGTGAATGCGTTCCTGCGACAATCGGCTGAAGTCTATCAAGGCGGATGCCGCCTGCGCGCGCCCCCCTCTCCAAGCTTGCCCCGCCGTTCGGCCGAGCTGTGCGCGAGGTTGGTCATGGGCGACGCTGGGTTGCCATTGATATGACCACCGTGGACGAGGACAGCCAGCGGCCATTCGCCCGCGCAAACGCGAGCCACGCCAGTCAAGCGAGACGAGACGTAGGGCGCTTTGCGAAACTCGTTGGGGTCTGCGTTCGCCGCTGACCAGATCATGACTTCCCGCGCCAAGCGTTGGAAGTGCACGCGAGCCTGCTGCTCGGGCCCCCAGGCGCGGAGGCGTCGCATGTTGCCGCTGCCGCCACGGCCCGCGGCCTTCCACCCAGAGCGGAGCCCCCGTCCTGTTGTCGAGGAGGCGTGACAGACCTAGTGCAAACCAGCGGCAGTGTTCTGGCAGCGATCCTCGAAGCCGTCGTGGGTTTTTTGTCCCTGGTGTGTTCCTCCCCATCGGCGCAAGTGGCGCGCGGACTGAACTCGGAGCACCCAACAACGTAGTGGCGAGAGAACTCGTCGTGCGTAATATTGCTACTGCGCTGCGCACTGACAACCGTACGATTGCCAAGAGGAGTGCGCATAAAGGGGCCCAGGTCAGCCAAGAGGCAGGGAGCACGCCAGTAACATTGAGAGTTTTGACCTGGAGAACCAATAACGAGTAGTCTCAAGCTGGTGCGACGGCCCCCTAGAAGGATGGCAGCAAGGTTGTCCAACCATCCTTTGCATTCCCGCTCTTGCCTGCACGCGCCTCCCCATGCTTCCACAACATAGTTGCGGAGAGCTCGGGACACCTTGCCTGCGCTGGCGATGTGAGCGTCAGATCGAACGACTGCTTGACACAGTCGGCTGCGCCCACATGCGGATGCAATGAGGGCGGTGCGTTCTTGTTTCCTTCCCATTCGGGTTTCCGCAACACAGTTGTGGATGACTAGCTCGAGGCCCTGTGTCGACACCGCGAGCGTGCAAGTCGGACCGCTTGACGGACTGACGCTAACGGCGGCGCTCACAAGCGAGTGCCGTGACGACGAAAAGCGCCCGAGCATCTCGAATACACGTCGAAAGTGCCCGAGGGGAGAGGTTCGCGCGCGCGGTGCGCCGTTCTTTTCGTAGGTTTCAATATGAAGGTCGTTGTCGTGCGTGTCCTGCGCCGATCCTGGCGGCTGGGCCGGCGGGGCCCCGACTGCCCCATAGAGGCGAGTCGCCTGCCGCAGCGAAGGGGGCGACCAGCACGAATGTGGAGCAAGCGCGTGTGGTCTACGTAGTTGTAGAGCGGGTGGATGCTGGACGTCCAGTGGAGCTGTCGCCAGAAGCGCGAAGCATTGCCGCGTGGTGATGGAGCGAGGTGCTCCACCACCAACTACGAATGTGAAGCGGTGGGAACAAACTCAGTGCAAAGATATGTAGAGCGGCGTCCATGAGCAACGTGTATTTACCGGGCGCGGAAAAAAAAGGTACCTTGAGCCATAATGGCAACAAGGTGAAAACCTTCCCGCACTTTCCATTCACTGGTAACCCACCGTTCGACTGCGAGACGGCGGAGGAGGAGGAGGAGGAGGAGGAGGAGGAGGAGGAGGAGGAGGAGAGGGGGTAGTGTAAGGAGGAGGAGGAGGAGGACGAGGAGGGAGGAGGAGGAGGAAGGGGAGAAGGAGGAGAACGAGGAGGAGGAGGACCGGGAGAAGGAGGAGGAGGAGGAGGAGGAGGAGGAGGAGGAGGAGGAGGGGCGGAGGAGGAGGAGCGGAGGGGGCGATGAGGAGGAGCAGCGGCGGGAGGAGCGGAGGCGGGAGGGAGGAGGGCGAACGGGCACGGTACGGAGGAGGGGAGGCATTGGATGAGGAACCACTGGGTAAGGAACCCAGAGTCTGGAAGCCAGTGGGATTGGAATCGTGGATCGGCCATGGGTTTAGCCGCCCTGACGCGCAGCACGCAATCCATCGAGTGTCGACACGGAGCTCACTACGTAATTCGACTACATAGGTCTGGCGCGATGCGTTCGCCAAAACGTGGGCCAACACGTGGAGCAAACGCGCAGCGTGTTGACACGGACGTTTTGAGCACGGCAAGTGATGCGTTTCAAAAGGGGCGTACTGGGGCAGCTAAGGCTATCGATGTCATCGCCGCCCTCATCTGATGAGGGATCCCCTAGGGTCCGAAGTCTGCTGGACTCAATCCTGAACCAACGCCTCTACCGTATCAAACAATAAATCTTTCCACAAGAAACCTTGGCGCGCATTGGATTGCTCGTCGATCTTCGGGGGGGGATAAGGTGCCCAAGAGCTTATGTGGGACCCTGGGGCCATCGGGGGATACATGTTTTTGTTCGTGGGGCACCTGCAAAAACACAACATCTTCTGTCCATTTGAACAAACAACGATACAAAAAAACACGGCGTTTTCATATACCGAATGCAGAAATGTTATGCTTTGGGCTCAAAATATTGGAACATCATTGAAAAAACTGTAATGCGCATGTTTTGTTGTTCCTTTTGATTCACTACCAGGAAGGCCTACAACGGAAATCAAATGTTTAATCCTACTACACGAAGGGGCGAGGGACAAACCAAGGACCTCTCCTGGAGCACCGCGCCCAGGGATGTGAAGAAGACGGCGAAGATCCGCTGGACCAGCCCCCGCATCCACAGGCCAGACGCGACGGGGATGCTCGCCTTCGCCGCCGCGCGAACTGTGGCGTGCGCTGCCTGCTCCGCAAGGCAGAACGAATACGTGCATGCAGCCACGATGACGACCAAACCGTACTGAAGGGCTGTTTGGCGTTTGTGCAGGATGGTCGCAGAAGTAATAACTGCACAAACATTAACTCTCGGAGCTCCGCGCGGATTTCGGGGGCATGCCTGGGTCCCACTAGCGGCACCTCCGGCACCGCCCCTGGCGCGCTCCAGCGCCGATCCAAGAAATCCGCGCTCACCTCCGTAAGTTTGTGGTTATGCCGCTGTTTCTCCTTCGAGATGATGCGAGTGAGCAGAACCGTGAGAATAATTGCGCACGTCTTCCCGACGAGGCTGAACGTGCCCACATCCAAGTGCTGGAGGGACGCGAAGCTCAGCATGTCCCCTACGGTGAACATGCTGGTGGTCACCTGATCTGACCGGACCTACTCCTACACAGTGCTTCCACGATGAGACGCTCTGGATATCTTGCCGCTGCTGCTACCCCCATCGGATCGACTCCGCCAGGGTGCCCTGCTTGCCCTGCCCCCCTGTGTCTGGAGCTCTGCCGCGGCGCACAGAGCCCCGACTGGGCATCTTCGGGGCCCAAGGGGGGTATCTGAAACGAGGATGCCCACGGCGAAATCCAAAGACTTCTGGGCTGGAGCATTGCGGACTCGGCGAGGTCCATGGCGGCCTCCGCGTCTCGACATGGCGCTCCCACTCTTGAGATTCCACCTCCTCCTCCTCTTCCCCCCTCCTCCTCCTCCTCCTCTTCCACCTCCTCCTCCTCCTCCTCCTCCTCCTCCTCCTGCTCCTCATGCTCCTCTTTTTCCTCCTCCTTCTCCGAGAATCCGGCCGTGGCGAGGAGGGCTCTCCGGGACGAGCAGGGAGCCCGAAAGCCAGGGATGGTCGGACCTTGAACCTCGAACCTCGATCCTCGAACCTCGATCCTCGAAGGGGGAAGTCACACAGAAACGCCACAGCATGTCCAGCCGGAGCAGCTGCCGCAGCTGCCCGTGGTAGGCCGTCCAGGAGAGCCCCATCAGCGAGGCCAACGCCCAGGCGTGGAAGGTGAGGGCTGGCACGCTGAAGCCGAACGAGCCACCTGCGCGGCAACCCCTCCGCTCGTAGAGGCCTCCCACATGAGCGACGGAAAGAAATGAGTCTTACGCGAATTGGCGACCTTACGCCGCGGCTGACGCGGGCCGCCAGCGCGGCACGCTACATTGGCGACGGGGGCGCTTACGCGCTAGCTTACGCGGGGAAGCCTACGCGCAAGTGTCGGCGCAGATGACCCCGTTTTTCTTGCGTCGCTCAAATGGGCTCCGAGTAGATGGAGTCGAAGGATCGCGCCGCATCGCCGATGCATCTGCGATGCGGCGCGATCCTTCGACCAAGCACACGCTGACTCACGATCGGCGACCATATCCGGAAAAAAACGCTACGGGAGGTTGTTGGCAATTTTCGGCCTGGGGTCGTGAGAAAACGACCCTGGAGGAAAACCTGGACCCAGGGAAGGGGTCCAGACCTCTGGGGAGCCACGCTGCGAAAACATCACGACGGAGGATGATTGGGGAGCAACGAATATACATATCCGCGCCCACGCAGTCTGGATCCTGGGGCGCGATCCCGCGGATATGCGGTCGCACGGATACGTTCCGAACGGGGCATCCGCGAAAAAAAACTCCATATCCGCGGGGTCGCGGCCCAGGGGCCCGGCCCGCCAGGCCGCGGATACGGACATGTCTGTCGCCAACAACTAACATGGATTACGGATCAGTGGATCTGGCGCGTGGGCGCCAGATCCACTGATGGGTGAGGAGCCAACTTTCCTGCAAGCGGATGGCGTGTCGCTCCGCTCCGCCAAGCGGGAGGCTGGGCCAAATTCGGGACGTTGACGCTTGGGGACTGGGACTTGGCTAGTTACCGTGTCAGGGGGCCACAGGCGAACCCTACCCCTACCCCCCACGACTTCTGAGGGGGAGGGTGGGGTTCACTTCGACGGGAGCTCCCGAGCGAAGTGAACTCCACCCTCCCCCTCAGAAATCGTGGGGGGGAGGGGTAGGGTTCGCATGTGGTCCCCTACGTGTCGCGCCAAGGAACCAGCGGCGGGGCGCGCTAAGCGAACGCTCACGACCGCACAACCATCGTGCTGCCCTAAGGAACGCTGAGCAAAGAACTGCAACAGAGTTCTGGCCACGGCGAGCATCGTCCACGAAGAGGTTCCTCGAACAGGAAATCGCTTTTATTTAATCGCTTCGCTCATTCCGCCGGCCTATATTGCAAGCCTTGGAAGCCTTTTGGGGCTTCCTGGGGGCATCTTCGGGCGCAAGGCTCGAATTGTTGGTTCGTGTTCCCCCTCTTGAGCCCGTCTTGGGGCCGTTTGGGGGCTCTCTTGGGCTGTCTTGGGCGCCTCTTGGGCCGTTTCAGGGCCGTCTCGAGATGTCTTGGGACTTTCAGGGGGGCCTCGTGGGCCGTCTTGGGGCTGTCTTAGGGGCCTCTGGGGCCGTCTAGGAGCTTCGGATGCTCGAAAAGGTGATAGGATGAAAAACGCTGAAGAGTACAATCGAACTTACTGAATGTTGTCTCTGTGGGCCCTCCTGGGTGACCTCTTGGAGCGCTCTCGGGGCTTCTTTGGGGCCTCTTCGGCTGTCTTGGAAGCATCTTCGGTCAAATTGGCGGCGCTGGTGGCCTCCCGTTTGATCGCTTGTTATTCTATCGACGACCCAGGGCTATCCTGTGGGGAGGCGGTGCTGGCCGATAAGCGCACTTATTCGCTTTGGCAAGCCTCGCGCATGACCGCGCAAACCAATGCTGCGTGCCCCCTGTGAACATGCTTATGCCTGGGGGGAGCAGGCGGGCCGATCACCTGGGTTATCGCGGCAGCACGGCGCACTAAGACGCCATGTGTGGACACATAGGTGTTAGGTCGGGCATGTCCCCCTACAGGCGGATTTCGGAGGCAAGTTCGAAATAGTCAAAGCATAGCCAGAAATGGTCAACAACTACTCGAAGCATCGTCCCCCTACTATTTTTGTACTATGTTTGCGTATTCATCCTGTAGACGGGCACGCCCGACTTAAGCAGAGGTGGCAGAACGCAGGGCGGACCGCGCACCCCGGTGACAGAGCGTCCCCGATGACCTGCTACAGGCTACAGAGACCCGGCTGGCCTCCAAGAGGGCCCCGTGAGGGCCCCGAGAGGCCTCGCGAACGCTCTCCGCGGCGCAAATCTGCACAGACCCTGGTGGTTGCTTCCCGTCGCCGCTGCCGTCGCAGTGCAGCCGCACCGTGGCCACATGCGTGAGCGCACGCGCGGGCCACGCGGGCACCGAGGTGGCAGAGCGTCCCCATGCGACCGACTACGACGTACGAACAACCTCGGTGACTTCACCCTCCTCCTCCTACTCCTCCTCCTCCTCCTCAAGAGGGCCCCGCGATGGCCCCGAGAGGCCTGCACGCGCTCTCGGCGGGGCAATACGCACAGACCTTGGGGGTGGATTCCCGTCGCCGTCACCGCCGCGATTCAAGCGCACTGTGGGCACACGCGCTGCAGATCGCACGAGCGAGCAATGTGGACACCTACAAAGCTCGTCAAAAACAAACAGAAGACTTCAATATTCGGTGATTGTGGGGTCAGCGCTACTCCAATGCTGACGGATGTCTGTTGACTCGGACATCCTGGAGCGCGATGCTTTCTGACAAGTGCCCGAAAGCATCGCGCTCCAGGATGTCAACTTCCATTTCTGGATATTGTTAACGAGGCTTGTAGGTGAGAGCACAGGCTGGCCACGCGGGCATCTAGGTGACAGAGCGCCCCGGCTGGTCTACTGCGATGTTCGAGAACCTGGATGGCTTCCAAGAGACCTCTCGATGGCACCGAGAGGCCTCAAACACGATCTCGGCAAGACAAGGCTGCACAGACTTTGGTGGTTGACTCCTGTCGCCGTCGCCGTCGCAATTCAGACGCATGTTCACCGATGAGTTGCGCAAGAACGTATATAATCATCACGATCAAATGTAATGTACGCGAGCCTTCCGAACGTTCACAACGGATACCTATGGACACGCGCTCCCCGAACGTTCAGAAGCATGTTTCTGAATATCCTGTCACTCCTCGGTGCACCTCCAGTTTCCTCCGTCTCCCCCTCACTGTCAGCATCATCATCTGTACCATCACCATCGTCACATCACCAGCAGCCCATCAGATCATGGCCACCATCATCACCAACAGCAGCAGCATCACAAGTAAAGCTATCCTCATCACCTTCACCGTAATGATCACTACAATCGCCATCAACACCAGCATCAGCATCAGCATCATCATACACATCGGTTTCGCAGCATCGGCGACATCGCCATAACCACCACCAGCATCTGCAACATCATCGCTAACATCATCATCATCAGCATCAGCATCATCATCGTCAGCATCGGGATCATCATCATAATCATCATCATAGTTATCGTCATCATGATCATCTTCATCCTCATCCTCGTCATCCTCATCACAATCAGCAGCATCGTCATCACCACCACCATCCTCACCATCATCCTCACCACCATCACCATCACACTCACCATGACCAGCATCGGCATCACACTCATCATGACCAGCATCAGCATCTACACCATCACCATCACACTCACCATGACCATCAACATCATCATCACCAGCACCTGCATCATCATCACCAGCATCATCATCACAATCAGCATCATCAGCATCATCATCAACATCATCAGCATCATAACAATCATCATCATCATCATCATCATCATCATCATCATCATCATCATCATCATTGTCATCCTCATTATCATCATCGTCATCATCGTCATCCCCAGCATCCCCATCATGGTCAGATGGTTTCGAGGGGCCGTCCGAAGACATTATGAAGGGGATGCCACGAACGAAACGCTTACTTGCAAACAACGATGTTAAAACAACCAGGTGTTTTTCAATAATTTCGCTTCTTCGGCCATCTTGGAGGTCATCCAAGAGCGCTCCGAAAATATGTCTCAAGGCAGCTCTTGGCGCATCCAATTTCTTCGGGGATGTCTCCGGCGAAACAGCCATTCCTGAACTTCCGAAGATTCGGCCAGCGATTTCAGCATCCCCAATGTCCGACCATGTCTCAGGCGAAACGTTCGTTTTTAGCATACGACGTCTTAGAGCAGCTCTTTCAAGATCCCATTTTTGCGAGAAGGTCTCAAGCGAAACGCCCGCTTCAGGAGGTCCGGAAGCTACGACTTAGGGGGGGTTCTGGAGGAAATCCCCCCCCCCTTAATCCACAAAAGCAAAGCCTTTGAAAATGGATCCCGCCGCATGTGAAGCCAATCCCAACCGACTGGGACCAATTACGTCCGACTGGGACTTTTCTCAGCTGGCCCAAAAAACGAAGCGGTACTACTTACAACCAGCCACGTCGGGCCCACAGTAGAACTCAGCGTGCACAGCGTTTGAAAACAATCCAGACATCAAATGAACGTCTTAAGGGTGCACATTCATCCTGGGAGTCAACATGGGTGCCCCGATTGGAAGTGGTACCAATTTAGTTTTGGTGTTCCGGGAGCTTTGTTGTTTTGCAACAACATTTTACACCAGCACATATCACCTCATGTTCGCCAGCGTGGGTTCCAAACAATAGGATACTGCCATCTACGCGGTGCAACACATGTGGTGCAATGTATGCAATGGAAACTATGGAATGCAGTTTATGCGGTGCAATCGATTTGGTGCATATATGCAACGTAACCTATGTGATGCAAACTGCGCGGTGCAATATACGTGGTGCAATGTATGCGACGTGACCTACGCAGTGCAAGCTACTCGGTGCAATATGTGTGGTGCAACGTATGCGATGCAACTTATATAATGCAGTACGCGCGGTGCAATCTATGTGGTGGAGTTCACTTGCCGAACTTGGAGTTAACAATTCCACTGCTCGCGCAATCATCGCACCCACGGACCCACCCGCAACGTGGTTTGCAAAACCATGCGGAAGCGATTGCGATGAGTGTTTGGTATTGGCTGGTGCATCTCTGCGGCCACGCTAGCCCGAGCATGCTCGCGCGCGCAACGGCCAGCTAGTTTGGCGCGACCAACGCGACCGCGGTGGCGCTGACCGCTCGGCACATCCCAGCGGGCACTTCAGTGCGGGTCGGCGACTTGGGCGGGCGCGGTATCATGGCAACGTCGACAACGGTAGACACGATGACGATACTAGCGATGCTGGCGACGATGCTGATAGCGACGACGGGGTAGCCAATGACGGCGCCGATGCTGATCACGCCGGCGACGATGACGGCGTCTTCGCGTCCGTGATGAAGGTTTTGGAAAGAGTTCGAAATTCGCGCGGCAAACGCGAGAGAGTGGCCCGCATGCAATTGTTTGTCACGGGTCGTGCCACCCCCGCACGCGCGCAAAGGCGTTCGAACGATTTCGACATGCGCGCGCAAAGCCCGCTTGGTAACATGTCATGAAAATGTTGACAAAGCTATGGTATTCCTAGACATTCGCAAAAGCGCGCAAGTTTGTTTTGGAAATCCGCGTCGCGAAACCATTCGTTGTTACATGTGTTTGGACACTCGGTTTGGAAATCCTTCGGAAACGAAGGTTTGTGAAATATGTCGGCATGCGCGCGACGACGCGCGAGTGTGCACTTCGTCCCGTTTGTTGCCAAGGATTCCTGCCAACTTGTGGTTTGGGATCAACGACTGCGCGCGCATAATATGTTTTCTGAGGTTGGCGGGGGGGGGGGGGGTCGATGCCTGCTTGGCTGAGATGGTACGAGTTCATATTGAGGGTGGACGATGAGGCAGAACCATACGTAAGTTGCATTACGGAAAAGGGGGCGATAATCCCGGGGCGCAGAATCTACTTTAAAGAAAGGAGAACGTATGCGACACCACCCATGCAATGCAGTCTATATGCGGTGCAACCTATGCGGTGCAATGTATGCGATGCAGCCCATGTAATGCAGTCGAGGCGGTGCAAATTATGTGGTGTAATATATGCGATGCAACCCATGTTATGCAATCCACGTGTGGTGCAATGTATGTGATGCATCCGATGTAATGCCAGATACGCGGTGCAATCTACGTGGTGCAGTATATGTGATGCATCCTATGTAGCGCAGTCGATGCAGTGCAGTCTATGTGGTAGAACGTACGCCATTCAACAAGTGCAATACAATCTAAAAGTTGCAAAGTATGCGATGCGGCGACGGCGACGGGCGGCGACGGGCGGCACGGGTGGCGACGGGCGGGGATGGCGGCAACGGGCGGCGACGGCGACGGGCGGCGACAGGCGACGACGAGCGGCGACGGGCAGCGACGCGACTCGCGCCCCTAACCCCTCATGGAAATTTCCTTGATGGGGGGCTGCCAAAGAAAAAACCCACCACCACCTCCTAATCAATTCAAACAAACTTCTTGCGGGAGGGGTCCTGGGGGGGAAACCCGCCCCGCCGCCCCCCCCCAACCCACTCAAAAACCTCCCTCGAGAGGGTGTTCCCCGGGGGGGGGGGGGACCCACCAGCCCTCCCGAACCCCAATTCAAAACCTCCCCTTGACGGGAGGGTCATGGGGTGAGAGAATCCACCAACCCCACCGAACCCCCCCAAAAGCCATCCTTGGGGGGGGGGGGGGCCTGGTGGGAGAACCCAAAAACCACCTCCCCGATCAGTGCTTGCACTGAAGGGGTCCCAGCGGAAGTTGAAAGATTTGGCGAAAATTTCGAGGCGGTCAACCGCTCGACGTCGCAAGGAGGAGGGACAGGCTCGCGCAGAGGCCGATCTGGCTCGGCAGCCGTTTCTCGAGGGCGTGGTGGTCGAGGCAGAGCTCAGCGGAGCAGTCAGCCAGCCGCAGGAGGTCACAAGGCGCCGCAGCAGTCGAACGGGCTGCCCGCGGACGCGCTGGCCGAGCTCCCTGCCATGGGCAGGTGTGCGCCAAGCTGTTCCCCGTGATCCTGAGGCGGCGCTGGGCAACTCCTACAATCTGCGCATGCTCGTGGCCGCCGAGTTCGTGACGATGACGATGGGCGAGGAGACGGGGCTGAGCAAGAGCGGCGTCCAGGCGGGGCGTGCGCACGCCACCCAGGCTGCTCGAGCGCCAGCGGGACCCGCAGAACAAGCCGCTCCCCGAAGTGGTCGTGGGCCCAACGACGCAACGAGCGTGCAAGTCTTTCGGGTGGTCGCTCGGAAGGTCTCGGAACCATAGCCAACGCGAGGAGCTGGAAGGAGCGTCAGCAAAGTCTCGGCGGCATCGACTCGATCGCGGACCTCACGATGGTGATCACGGGGTACCGCGTGAGTTCGGCGTGCAAGGACTGGCTCGCGGAGATGGTCTTCAGTCTGGCGGATCAGCAGATGCAGAGGTCGTTCCAGGAGTGCGTGGTGCAGGTGGGGGGAGGAGTGCGTCCTGGTATGGCTCCTCGGTCGCACACAGGGCGGGTCCTCATGCTAGCGCTCGACAAGTTCGACATCTGACGAGGACAGGCGACAGATCGCGAATCCAGGGGGTGGTCTCCCTGGTTCAGGCGTCGCTGGTTTGTGGATCCGAGCGCGCCCGGTCGGCTTGCCCTGGGGTAGGGGCTGACAGAGGCGTGCTAGGCGTTAGATCGAACATCCCTTTGTTGTATTCGGGTTCACGTCTAGCCACGTCTTCGTCGGAGCCTCGGAATCCTGGAAATCCTGGGGATGGCATACCAGGTTCGACTTCGCCAAATTGTGGATAGGATCTGTTGGGAGATCAGACGCATGATGATGTGGGAATCGTGCAGAGAGCACCGAATGCCAATGCCATGCAGAATGAAGTGGGCACCGTGCAGTACCTGTTGGCAGCAGCTACTCGTCTGATGACACAGGCGAGGTCGGCGAGCCAGAGCACGAGTTCAGGTCTCCAGAGGGCCAAGGCGTCGTCACAGAAGACAAGAGAGAATATTGCCTCGTCAGCGAGGGCCTCCAAATCGAGTGAGGCGGGAGGTTCCGTGTAGCCTTACGTCCAGGAGGCCTCCCGTGCTGCCGCTGCTGCCCCCCCTCCCCCTCCCCCTCCTCGTTCGAGATCTCCCTTGTATTCCTATCTCGCCTTCTTACGCTACGCGATTCTGATTGTGTGGTTTTCCTTGTGCTTATTTTCTTTTTTCCTTGGGCCTCGGGGCACCTGGGGCCCGCTCCGTGTCTGAACATTTCGCTCGATGTTGGCTCGCCGTGAACTGTGGTTGGGTAAGGGCAACTTGGGGCTCCCACCTGTCTGGGGGGGGGGCGTCGTTTAGACGCATCCTCATGCGCACGATAGGTCGCACATAGCTGAATAGTCTGTTGAGTATTGCTGTGTGGTCTGGAAGACATTCGGCATGATTTCGTTCCGTTTGTTTCTTCTCCTCCTCCTCCTCCTCCTCCTTCTCCTCCTGCCCCCCTCCTTCCCCCTCCTCCTCCTCCTCCCCCCCCCCTCCTCCTCCTCCTCCTCCTCCTCCTCCTCCTCCTCCTCCTCCTCCTCCTCCTCCTCCTCCTCCTCCTCCTCCTCCTGCTCCGCCTCCTCCTCCTCCTCCTCCTCCTCTCCTCCTCCTCCTCCTCCTCCTCCTCCTCCCTCTCCTCCTCCACACCCTGTTCCTTCTCTCTCCTCCTCCCACTGCTCATCTTCCTGCCCCCCCCCTCCTCATTTAGCTGGTCGTCTTTACCCTCCCCGTGCTCCCGCGCTCCACCCATCCCTATGCCCTTCCCCCGCATGCGAGATGAGGGATGCCGGGAACGACAAGGAGGAGATGACGAGGCCTCCCGTCTTCTGCTCCTGAACCCTCCCGACTGCGACGTGGCATTATACCGGCCGCTCGCTCCGGCGACACACCCCCGAGAACGTCCCGACCACACATCGGTGCAGGAGATTCTGCCTTCTCTGCACACGCTCCGCGCGGCGTCTTCACATTCAGCCCCGTGTGCGCGCTCGGGTCGGTACAGAACTGAAGGGGCCCTGGGACACACAAATACATACACACAAATAACAGGATTCCCCATATTTCTGGATTTTTTTGTATTTTCGTCTTCCCCTCCACGTCCCATATTTTCTTGTATTTGGGGGGAATCGACGATGAATTGTGTCTGTGTGTTTTCTCCCTCCTGAACAACCACCGTGGCCCCGTTTGACCCAGTCCAGCACGATGGGGCCCGACGCGCTGAGGCAGACGTAGATCAGGCAGAGAACCTTAGGAGTGCCCCCCAGGAACGCGGCGGTGCCCTCCTCCTCCTCCTCCTCCTCCTCCTCCTCCTCCTCCTCCTCCTCCTCCTCCTCCTCCTCCTCCTCCTCCTCCTTAGGTGGCTCAGGCCGTGGCCGAGGGGTCGGCCCGCTTGCCTCAGCCCCCAGCCGTCACCCGTGTTCAGCGGGCGTCGGTGAACATTCCGTTTCCCCCGCCAGAGACCGCTCGGGCGCGATCGCCCGCGTGGCATCGGCGGGTTCGCCGAGCGCGCGCGGCCGCCCGCCTGCTCCTGAGGCAGGCCCGCGCTCGCGCCGTCCTCGCAGGACATCACGGCGAGCACGCTGCTGGCGGTGGCGTCCGTGGCTCGATGGCGCCAGGCGCTGCGGAGGCCCCTCGCCCGTGGGCGACGGCCGCAGGAGGCGCCGACGGAGCAGCGGATCGCCAGTGGGCTTGCGTCGCGACCAGGCTCTGCGGCTTCAAGACCAACTTCGCTTCGAGGTCGTCGTGCTGGAAGTGCGGGCGCGATTGGCAGGGGCGCAGGCCTGCTGGATCGGAAGCCCCTGCACGCACGCGGTCGGCCTCTGCTGCGGCTGATCGCCGTCGCCGCCGTGATCGTGACGCTGATGGCGGAGAGCGGGCTGAGCGGGCCAGGGACCAGCTGGAGGAGTCCCAGGCCGTGGTCCGAGCCCGCAAGGGGCTCGCCGCTCTCCGCCGCCTCAAGTACGACGAGGATCACCCGCTGGTCGTCGCAGCCGCTCGGGAGGTCCAGCTCCTGGAGGCCGAGGAGCGGAAGACGCGCCCGCCGGAGGATGTGCTGCGCAGCGCCCAGGATCGCCTCGCCCTCAAGTCGAAGGAGAAGCTCGACGTGGACACGCAGCTGGCCGAGGCGGAGGAGCGCGTGGCTACCTTGCGCCAGAAGGCCAGCGCCTTGTCGGAGGACGTGGAGTCGCTGCAGAAGGAGGTCCTGGAGGCGCGGAAGGCGGTCACCATCGCCACGGCAGGGTACCAGGGCATGGACCTCGCGGCCGTGGCGACCAACCTGCTCAACCTCCAGACGCTCATTAACAACGCAGAGGGCTCGGTTGCGTCGGGCCAGGGCTTGCAGCTGCTGCAGTCGATCCACGCCGAGGTGCAGGCCATGGGGGTGGCCTTCCCTGCCTCGCGGGCCGCGGCCTTGGCAGCCGGCGCCGCTGCATCGGGCCCCCCTCCGCCGGGCAGCACTCTGGCTGCTCCGACGGCACCGCTGGGTGGTCCTGCGGCCACAGCTGGTGCGGCGCCGCTGGCGTCGGGGGCCCCCGCAGCGGCCGAGCCGCCCGCGAGGAACGACGTGGTCATGGGCAGTGCGTCCCCTGCGGCGGCCATGGCGCTTCGCCCTCCCCCTAGCGCCCCTGGGGGAGGACTCGGGGCAGCCGCGGCCAGTGCAGGCCCACCGCAGCCTGAGCTCGCGCAGTTGGGCTAGGCATCGTGCGCCGCGGAGGGCGCGCAAGAAGCAGATCACGCTCGCCTCCTTCAACGGCTCCTGCTGGCTCAGCTGTCGGCAGTTCCTGGAGCAGAGCGCGGAGGGCATCATGGTCGTGGCGGCCCAGGAGTTGCGCGTGGATGCTGGGGATCTGCAGGCAGCGACGCTTTGGGCTTCGCGTCACGGCTGGAAGGCGTATATTTCGGCGTGCCGTCGGTTGGAGTCGGGTAAGCCTAGTGCGGGAGTAGGCTTGTCCATCCGCGATTTCATATCGACACGTCTGTTGGAGATGCCCGACGGCACGCAGAGTTTCGAAGTTGTACCATCGTGGAGTGTGGCAGTTCATGCTGATCTTGGCCTACCTGGGGGAGTGATTCTCGGCTCTGTGTATGTAGAATCTGTGCCAGATCATGCGTACCTGTCTCGCAATTTTCAGAAGCTGACGCGTCTCGGGGAGGTGCTCAGGTATTATGCTCGTCCGTTTCTCATGGCAGGAGATTGGAACACCACGGCTAGTGAGCTCGAGGTAACAGGTCTCCTTGATATCTTCCCTGCCCAGAGTGTGGTGCCTAGCGGTGAGGGCGCCTGTCGCTCGCCTCAGGGGAATTATCGTGCTATCGATTTCTGGCTCGCCAGTCCTTCTCTCGCGAAGGCGTGTCTGGACCCACGTTGTGCTCCTGACTGGGCGGCCAGACCCCACTTCCCCATCCTGCTCGATCTCTCGGCCCATCCTCGGGAGATGCAGCAGCTCTGCTTTCGGGGTCCCAAGGCCTTCCCCAGGCCCCCTCCCGAGTTTGCGGGATGTCACCCTTTGGAGGGCCCCCCAGAGCCCCAGCCATATGTGGATGTGCTCGCTGAGGATTCTGCTCTTGGGGTGCCCTCCGACACGAGTCAGCTTGCTCCTAGGTTGGACGCGTTGTACGGTTCCTTCTGTTCCATGGTGGAAGCTGATCCGTGTCGCATTTATCAAGTGAACGATAAGGAGCGATATCTGGGGAGGTCTGAGGGCCCTAGGTATGTTTGGCGACCCGTAGGAGGACTGCCCACCCACGGGAAGCCCGCTAGTGTGCCTGAGGCTAGGCTGTTTAGGGACATCGGTCAAGCCATAGCTGATTATGCCGTGGCCTTGGATAAGCCTCAGGGGATCGGACTTCGGGCTCAGAGGCTCCATCTGGTTTTGAAAGCGGGGCGTATTCGCGATGTGTGCTCCGAGCGTGGCCTCGATCTCTTTCAGGGCTTACCATTCCTACTCGATGCTGCTGCTGCTTGCCCTATGTCCGTAGCTATTGGCTCAAACGATTGCCCCACACACTCTTCTTCACTTTTCTTGGCGGTGTCAGACGCCGCGCATGCTCATGCCGAGTCGCTGGAGACGGCAGCTGCGGCTGCCAGGCGCAAGGCTTTCTTCAAGTGGGCCAGGGACGCGCTGGTCACCTCGCCCACGCAGGTCTTCAACTATACGTAGTTGCGCGGCTGGACTCACTCGGAGTCGTCTGCCAGCACGTCGGTCCAGGCCTCACCTCGCTTGCGGTCGCAGGCTCAGGAGGTCGCTGACGGGCAGATGGACCTGTGGTGCGGCATCTGGCAGGGCACGGCGCTGGGATCTTCGGCTCCTGTGGCTGAAGTGGCGGACCCTGAGTTCGATATTGGACATCTCTTGCCTGCAGATTCCTCCGGCTGTGAATTGGCTGCGCTGCTTCGAGATCTGCCTTCTGACCACCTCCCAGTGCCGAAGGTAGTTGACGTCAGGCGCGCGGCGCGTACTTTCCCTTGGCGCACGGGTACTGGCCCCGATAAGCTGTCCCCTCGTGCGATCTCGCTGCTGGGCGACGAGGCTCTGGCGTTTCTTGTTTACCTGCTGTGGGCCATCGAGACGTGGCATCGGTGGCCTACGCAGATGATGATGGCGCACATCGTGCTTCTCAGCAAGGAGGGCGGGGGCTTTCGCCCGATCGCGCTCCTGCCCTCGGTCTACCGTGTGTGGACCAAGCTGAGGCTGGTGTACGTGCGGCGCTGGGCACGTGATCACGCGCGCCCCTACTTCGCCATGGGAGCGAAGAAGTGCACAGTCGACGTGGCGGCGAGGCTGCTGGTGCGGCTCGAGGCCGCCGCTCGCCACCCTGATCTAGCAGTGGTCACGGCACTGGTGGATATCAATAAGTGTTTCGATCGAGTATCGTGGCGCAAGCTCGTTGTGGCTGCTCAACGCTACGGTTTCCCGACGACGATCCTTCGCATGGCTCTGCTCATGCATCACGCACCTCGTCGGCTGTCGTGGGCGGGGACCTTTTCATATGCCGCGACGGTGCTACAAGGCGTGTTGCCTGGCTGCACCGACGCGATGTTTTTCTTGCAGCTGCTGTTCCTGGAGCCTCTGGACGCGTTCTTTGAGGAGACGGCTCGGCTGCCTCGTAGTCTCGACGTCTACGCTGATGACCTCACGCTGCAGATCGTCATGAAGCGCGTGGACATCATTCGGGTCTCGGCGGAGACGCTGGCGCTGCTGGCGGACACGCTGCGGGACCTGGAGCTGCCGATCGCGGTGAGCAAGGCCAAGGTGATGGCCACGGACATGCCGCTCGCCACCTCGGTCGCTCGTCGTGTTCAGAAGCATGGCTTCAAACCCGTCTCCGTTCTCAAGGTGCTGGGCATGGAGGTCGCTGGCGGCAGGCGGCTGCGCTACGGTGTGGTCGGGAAGCACGCGCGCAAGGTGACGGCGCGCATGCCGCGCTTTCGGCGCCTGCGCGGGCTCAGGACGAAGGAGCACAGGCAGGTCACTTCTCCGTCCCTTGGGCCTGGCATGACGCACGGGCTGCAGGTCACCAGCGCGCCGCCGCACTTGGTGAAGCGCATGGCGGCCTGTGTGCGTGACGGCTGGGCCAAGACGCCTGCGGCGTCTTCGACGTGGGTAGCTTCGCGGCTCGAGCCCTCCTGGAGGCAGCATCCTGACTGCCTTGCTGTGACGGGCCCTGTCCACACATGGGCGCGCATGGTGGCGGCTCGCTCGGTCCCCCTGGAGGTGCTTCAGGACGCCTGGCAGCTCCAGACGCCGCGAGTGTTGCTGGCCAAGGAGCCGTGGAAGATGGTTGTGGGCCCTGCTGGAGCGCCGGCACTGCAGCTGCGCAGACTTGGCTGGACAGCATCGTCGGCACACCTGTGGCGCACGCGGCGCGGCATCGCGCTCGACTTGACCGAGGTCTCGCCGGCTTGGGTGCGCACCTCGGCGCTGCGGGACTACGAGCTTGACGGCTGGCGTCAATGGGCTCAGCGGGAGGAGCAGGCGCCTGAAGACCCTGCTTGCCGCGTCCCCAGGGCCCCTGACGGCTACTGGGTCGAGCCGATCCGTGCCCTCTTTGCAGATGCCAAGGAGCGTGCTAAGTGGAAGCTGTCGCCGTTGGCCATGGCAGCCCTTCGCTCCACCATGATTGGTGGCCAGTGGTCGCAGCAACGCCTGTGGCAGCATGGCTACTCTTTGTTTCAGGAATGTCAGGCCTGTGGCGCGGTGGCTGGTTGTCTGCATCACCGATTTTATCGATGCCCGCAGTGCGAAGAGGCACGCGTCGAGGCCATAGATGCCCCTCACTTGGAGCGGGCCCGTCACGCTCCGACGCAACGCCCCTTCTTCCAACGCTGCCTCTTTCCAAGGTCTTGGCTTCCTGAGCTGCGACCCCCTTGTATGATTGAAAGTTGGGGGTATGAGCTTAGGGCCTTAGGCCCTCTAGATGTCACTGGTACTGTTTTTACGGATGGCTCAGGCCGCATCCTCCCTTTTTGGCCCGAGTCGGCCCGTGCGGGCTGGGGTTTCGCTGTCATGGCTGGGGCCTCGCTAAGAGGCCAGGCGTTTGGCCCGCTGCCTGGCCACGAGCAAAGCGCCCCTCGGGCCGAGCTGTTTGCGAGTTTGAAAGTGCTTCAGGTCGGTAGGGCCCCTCTTGATACTAAGTCCGATCAGTTGCCTGCCATTGAGGGTATAAACCTCCGTGGCCGTGAATGGTGCTTGGATGTTTCGCGTCAGAACCTTGATATTTGGCGCCAGATCTGGCGCGCGATAGACGATCACGGCGGCCTGCAGGATGATGTGCTGTCTTTCTCTTGGGTAAAATCTCATCAGACGGAATGGTCGGTTGAGAAGGTCGGCAATGATTTCGCCGACCAAGCAGCTCGCAAAGGATTGGAAACTCATGCGCTGTCGGAAAATATTGTGAATGATCATGCTGCTTCTCTCCTCCTCCTCCGACAGATCTCGCGCTGGGTTGCTCAGTCCCAAGAGGCCTTGGCGCTTGGAGCGGTCGCCCCTGGCCGCACTGAGACGCCGCTGAGGCGTAGGCATCAGAAGCCTCCTCGCCTCCGTCATCGTCCTCCTCCCCCTCCTCCTGCCCTTTGCCATCGGCCCGTGTCGATCAGAGGTCACTGGAGGTGCTCGCTCTGTCTTGCCTCGGCCCGCTCTGAGGGAGGCAGGCGCAGATTGCTCCGCACGCTCTGCGGCACCGTGCGCGCGCAGGCGCGCCCCGTGCCTGCCGCCGCTGCCGTGCCGCCGCCGCCGTCGCCGTCGTCGGGGAGTCGGGACGGGGGTGGGGGCGGGAGCAAGCGGTCCCGTGAGAGCGAGCCCGAGTCCGAATTCCCCATGCGATGCGTGCGCATCAGGCTGTGTGTCTCGGACGACTGGCGTCCGCCAATTCGCCCGAGGGAGGAGGAGGAGGGGGAAGGGGACGAAACGGCCCTGTTTGGGACCGTGCCCCCCTCTCGCTCGGTCCGCCCTCGTGTTCGCTTCGAGCTCGACCCGCCTCCGTCGCTCGACGAGACGGTTGAGCGTCTCACCCAGGACTGCGTGCCGTCCCAGGAGGTTGAGCCTCCCGCGAAGAGGCCGTGCACCCTTGGTTCCAGGGCCCCCTCGTCGTCCGCGGGTCGTGCGAGTTATGGGTCCCTGGAGCCCTCCGACCGTGTCCCCATGTCTCGTATGCGGGGCCACGAAATATTTGTGTCGGGTAATTTGGCTGCATGCCGTAGGTGCGGCTCGTCTTGTGAGGGGGGGAGTCAGTCTCAGCTGTTCGAGGTTTGTCGCCCCGAGCTTTTGGAGCGGACCCCCTCCCGTAGATATAAGCGAGACCGCATCTTTGACAAGCTCCTGCATCCGCGGGTGCCTCGTCTCCGTATAGCCACCCCAGCTCCTCTCAAATTCTCAGATGACGCTTGTGCGTGGCTCGGGCTTATTTAAGCCCTTTCTGCAGCAATTACTTGTGATTTCTGTGCCGTCGGCCAAGTGCTGGCCGTGATGGGGTCTCCTTGTATCCCTGGGTCGTAAGCCCTCGTCGTCGGTCTCTGCTGATTGAGAGTTGTGCTTCTCTCCTTTTCCATCGCTCTGCTCCGTCCGTCACCCGAACTCGGCGCGCTCTTCTATCTGGGTCCGTCCTCCTCCTCCTCCTCCTCCCTCCCTCCTCCTCCTCCCTCCTCCCTCCTCCTCCTCCTCCTCCTCCTCCTCCTCCTCCTCCTCCTCCTCCTCCTCCTCCTCCATCTCCTCCTCCTCCTCCTCCTCCTTCTCCTCCTCCTCACGGTTACGCGGAGGCTCGGGCTCGGTGCCTTGCTCGCGTCGTCTGCGGGGGAGGAGCAGGAACCCGAGGACGAGAAGGAGACCCGGGAAGACGAGGGGGAAGAGGAGGCGGACGGAGAGGCCTTTGCCAGGGGGGCCAGAGGTGCCCTTGGATACCCCGTGGTTCGCCCGAGCAGGCCTTGCGTCCTGGGTCGTCTTCTGAGACGGCGTCGCAGGCCAGCAGCGACGGCCCTAAATTCGGGGGCGCGCAAGCATGGATTAGCGCTCCATGGATTTGGCGCGCGGTCGCCAAATCCATGGATCGGGGGAGGTTCCCTGCTCAAAGTGCGGCCAGTGCCGCCCCGCTCGGCGGCGGAAACCCGCGAAGTCCCAGGGAAGCGGGACCCGTCGCTAATCCACGCCCCCTTGATCCATGTTTACGATCGCCTGATAAATGGCACCGCCCCAACCCAACCCGAAGACCCGAATTTCGGGCTGGGGGCGGGACGGTTTCCATATGTGTTTTTCGATGTTCCCTGACACACACACCCAACGGAAATGGAGGGCAAATCGGAGCCTTCGGGTTGGGCTGGGGTGGTTGGGTCGACGGTGAGAGACGGCGTCGCACAACGACGGCCCTGAATGACACCGCCGCACCCGACGGCAGCACCCGCGGGCATCCATGCCAGCGGGCGGGGGGGCAGGGCTGGGAGTGCGGGTGAGTTTTTTCGGTGGCCTTCGAGGCTGGCGCCCGAGCGTGGACCGCCCATCACACACATATGCCACCCCTAGTCTGAGATCGGGAATGTCCCCCTACAGGGGCAATTTGGCAGAAATATTAAAAATACACCAGCAACGAATCAAACATGTTCAAAGAAACCCGAAACATCGCCCCCAGGCTATTTTCTAAGATTCCTTCTGTAGAGGGACGTGCCCGACTTTACCCTAGTCGCGGTATCCACTCGGCCAGTCTGCCTCACCCCCCGTCGTGGTCGGGCGTGGGTTCTGAAGCAAGGCCCCGAGAGCCTCCAGACTGCCACAACCCCTTCCCTGACATCCGCCGATCTGATTCTTCAATCCGCGGCCCCAGAGCTCCCGACACTCCCCCCCAGAAGCCGACATCCTGAAAAGCGGCCGCGGAGGCCGGCTGAACAAAACAAATATCCTCGACATCTGGCTTTCGGGTTCTAACTCTGGTCTCCGGCGGCAGTTCGAGACGATCCAGGCACACCTGGAACGACCTCGGCGAGGCGCAGCTGCTGGAGCATCACGAGGCTGGGAAACCGCCGAGAACCGATGAAACGTCAAAGAACTCCGGGGGCCGAAATCGAGGAAACAACGCCAGATGACAAAAACAGATCGTCCGATACATGGGTTGGCTAATAGCGGCTCTGGGCGGAGAGCCAACAGCGTTACTCTCCGGTTGGAGGAATGCCGCGCGTCTACGCTCGGCAGCGCCCGTGCCGCAGTCCATCGGCGCCAGCATCTGGACCTGCCCTCCCCAAGGCGCAGACTCCCCCTCAACCCTCGTCCTAATTCTCCTCCTCGTCCTCCCTGTCCTTTTCCTTATCCTCATCCTTTTCCTCCTCTTCCCACCTCGTGCCTCCTCCTGCCTCCTCATCCTCCTCCTCCTCTTCCTCCTCCTCCTCCTCGTACTCCTCTTCCTCCTCCTCCCTCCACCAGGGTTCCTCTCTCCATCCTCCTCCTCCTCCTCCTCCTCCTGCCTCCTCCTCCTCCTCCTCCTCCTCCTCCTCCTCCTTCCCCCTCCTCCTCCGCCTCCCTCCCTTCCCCCGACGTGCTTGCCCGGATCGCAGCCAACCGTGCAGAGCCCCATCCGCTGAAGGCGTGAACGGTCGGCTAATCGCAGGCGCGTGCCAGTGCAACTAGCTGCCCTTTTTAGCCAACCTCCCTCTCACCCACCCCAGTCAGAGCTTGTGCAGACTGATATGCACCGTTGGTTGTCGCTTGTCATCGCCAACTCCTGATGGGGATACCTTGGGGGTGTTTCTGGTTTCGTGTTCATATGTACGTTTCCCTCCTCCCCCCCCCATCGGCGGCGGCGACGGCATCGGCGGCGTCCCCACGGCGCGCCCGCCGCAGACGCGCCCGCCGCAAATGCGACGGCATCGCCACCTTCCTGTCCGCCTACGGCAGCAAGGCCGAGGATGAGGAGGGGGATAGGTAGGAGGTGGAGGACCCGGGTTCTCTTTGCCCTGTTATGGAGCGTGGTGGCTCTTGCCACATAGGTCGGCCCTTGGTGGCCATCGTTCCTTGCCCTGGCGCTTCGCCTTTTCTGGACTCAGGGCCAACTCTTGGCCATGTCTTGCTGCCCCACCTGGGGGCCCTGGGCTGGAGTTTAAGTGCTTCACCACCACCCCTTAGCATTCTCTTGAAAAACGCTGAACGACTTCCTACCTGACCTGACCTGACCTCCTCCTCCTCCTTCCTCCTCCTCCTCCTCCTCCTCCTGCACTCCTCCTCCTCCTCCTCCTCCTCCTCCTCCTCCTCCCGCCTGAGCCAGGAGAGGCGGGGCCACTCCTCTTACAAGTTTTTTTGGGGCACCGACAGAATGCACCTCCATTGGAAGAACCAGCAAAACGGCAAGGCGAAACGGTTAAATCTGTACCGCGGGGCTGGCCAAGGCGAAGCACTTAAAGCACCACCCTGAAGTCCACCCACAAGGTGTATGTGCATCCCCGACGGCGTCCAGCCGTTTATAAACACATATGCGCACAGTGAGACATCCTCGCACTGTCGAGTGCAACGGAAGAGCACGACCGCTCCGGGCTAGGAGGAGGAGGAGGAGGAGGAGGAGGAGGAAGAGGAGGAGGAGGAGGAGGAGGAGAAACGGAAGATTGATGTTGCAGACCAGACGCATTGAGGGGAAGCCAAAAATCGATTCCTGTCCGCTTAAGCGCTTGCCTTCACAACCTAACCCCTTCCTGGGGGCCGAATCCGCCGCTAAACCTAAACACCGCATTACACTGAGTAATGCACCCTAGAAACGGATTCGCAGCACGCGTGCACCTCAACAACGGCCGCCACGCACGACCGGCTAGGAAGCACCGCGCTGTTGGCGGGCACGGCACGAAACCTAAGATTGATAGGATGGCGGCAGTCGGCACAACGGCGAGAGTAGGAGGGAGGAAGGATAGTGGCTACGAAACCAACGGCCGGCGCTGGATGGAGCGCAGCAGGGACTCCAGAGCTGAGTGGCCGCGAGCGCCCTCCCGCAGCAGGGCAAGGAGGGCAGAGACGACAGCGCCCACGCGCAGGGACCCGCAACGGGCGTCGCCGTGCGCCCTGTACACCGCGTACACCGTCAGTGTCCGCAAGAGCGTGGCTTGCTCCGCCGTGTCCTCTCCTTGTTGGAAGCGACGGGACTGGCCGAAATTCAAGAAACAAGCCAGCCGGTCACCGGGCGCCGGGAGCGCTAGGCCAGCGTGACGCGAGCAGAAGGAGTGATACAGCTCGCAGCAAGCGTAGTGCTCAATAGAACCCTCCCCGCGATTGCAACCGAGCAGGCACCTCCCACTGCCCTTGAAGCGCCGCGCTGTGCGGGCGCGCGAGAGGACAACAGCCAGCCGACCGCGCGCCGCGGGAGAAGGTCAATCGACCATGTGCCGGGCTTTGCCCCGGCGTGCACCAGGGCAGGGCTGCTTACAGGCCTCAGTAGGGTGACAGCCCGGCGCTGCCATGTCTTCCGCTCCGCGTCGTCCATCGGGTTGGTGTCCATCAGGCAGGGCGCAGTGCCCCGAGCGCGTGCCGCCGTCGCAACGGCGCCCGCGGCCTCCTGGAGCCGCAGAAGAGAGCAGGATCGGATCCAAGCTGCCATCTGAAAAGTGACGTTGTCTGACCCGTGCAGCCGATCGAGCAGCTGCTGGGCCCACTCCTGCACTCGAAGACATCCACCGTGCCTGTTTTCGTATTGGTACGTCCAGGCAGCAGCGACCGTGGCACATGAGACAAGCGAGGCAAATGTGAAGGTGAACCCGAGTTCCATGAGAGACTGCAGCGCCGGTGCTGAAATCCAATTCCCGGGCCTGGGGGCGAGCCGGAGCAGCACGCAAGCCTCTTGCCGAAGCACCTCCGGAGGGATGCGCTCAAAGTTGGGCCACGAACAGGAGCACGCTCAGGAAGTAGACGCGGTAGGCCACCGCCGTCAAATAAAGGCCCGCACCGATCGATCTCCACAACTCCGCTCGGTCGCGGAACTTCTTCAACGGAGCGCCCCAGGAAAGTGTCCCACGGCCAGGCCTCACTTCAGATCCCAAGTACTTCGCGGGCGAGGCTATCCCAATCTGGCCCCACTCGGGGACCAGCGCCGCAATGGCAGAGCGCAGCGCCTCCGGGTCGTCACGCGAGAGGGGGACCACAGCCGTTTTCGCAATATTGAAGCGTAGGCCAGAGACCCGTGCGAACTCCGCCAAGATGGGGGCCAGCGTGGGCACGGCGCGGAGCCCGCCACGGAGGAGCACCGCTGTGTCGTCCGCGCTGGCCCGGCGCAAGGATCAGCACAGACGCCCCACTCGCTCGAGGAGGAGGTCGGACGAGGCAGCGAGGAGCAGAGGGAACAGAGGACACCCCTGCCTGACCCCTCGCGTGGCCACGAAGCCGTCGTAGAGCGCCCCGCCAAACGCAATCGTGGAACTGTTCTGGCGGTAGAGAACCAGGAAGTACTGGAGCAACCAATCGGGCCAACCAGCGAGCCGGAACAGCTCGAGCAAGAAGCCGTGCTCCACAGAGGGGAAAACGCCGCCTCGAAGTCCATGAAGAAGGCAAGGGCGTCAGGGTGCTCAGTCGCGTCGATGCACACAGCCTCCTCCAGGTCAATAACGTTGGCGAGCATGGACTGGCCGTGCAGGAATCCGCGCTGGTCCTGGGAAATCCTGGGGGCCAGGGCCATTCGTCTTACAAGCTTGCAGTGCGCAGCGGGCCCACGGATGGATGGGGGGAGGGTAGTTTTCAAAATGAGGCTCTCGCCTTAACACCACGCACGTTATAGACCCGAAAACATGATCAAACAACTTGCATGTAAGAAATCTGGGCCAGCTTCCCAAAAAGTTCTTGAAACACGCCTGGGCCAATGTCTGGTGGTAACGCTGGCGGGGCGAACGTGCTCAAACAAGAGGGCAAGCTTTCCGGTAAGTTTGCTCGGAAACGCTGGTCCAAGGTTTGGGGTGGAGGCTTACACCTGTTTCACGAATGGAGGGCCACTCCTTTTCAATAGATGTGGTTCTCGCCTTAGCGCTGCGCGCGCTCGTGATTGAAAATGCGAATCAGTTTCACGAATGGAGGGCCGTTCCTTCTCAAATGTGGATCCCGCCTTTGCGCAGCGCGCATATGCACATCTCGTTATACGGATGCCGGCGGACTCCTTTTCGACATGTGCCTCTCGCACCATTGCCGCATACATTCGTTTCTAAGATCGCAGAAGCATCGCGAATGGAACGAGGACGTTTTCAAACTGTGCTCTCGCCCGAGAGTCGCACGCAGTCTTGCCTTAGAAGTTCGCACTCGCTTCACGGGCGGAGGGCGGTTCCTTTTTCAAAAGGGGGTTCTCGTCCCAGCGCCGCGCGGATTCGTCTTGCTAGCGCAACGTTGATCCGAATGGAAGACTGTTCTTGTTCAACATGGAATTACAGCCTGGAACTTCGCAAAGTTTCAGGACCCAGAACTTCAACGTACACAACGCTGCACGTATCCATGACGGCTCTTGCTCCAAATGGAGCCGTCGCTTAAGACTTCCTCGAAGTTCATGGCAGCGAGGGTACACCTGTGCAGCAGTTACAAGGATGAGGGGGCGGCCCTTATTCGAAAGGAGCATCTCGCAGGACACCTCGCTGAACTGTCTGATCATTGCTTCGGTGTCGCAATCCTTAATACGCCCCAGGGAGATGCAAGGCAGCTCCCTTTCAAAGAGGGGCCTTCGCCAAAATGGCAGGCCTTCCTCCTCCTCCTCCTCCTCCTCCTCCTCCTCCTCCTCTCCCCTCGCTCTGGGGCTAGGTGCGGTGGCGCCGCGTCGGCATCGACAGCGCCCCTGGAGGAGCCATGGGGTTAGCTGCTGGCCGACGAAGTGTCCTTGGCCTGGCGTGTGCCAATGATCAGAGCACGAGTAACTCTTGGTGCGAGTGGGTCTGAGTGTGAGCGAGTGAGACTGCGAGTGGTTCTGAGTGGGAGCGAATGCGAGTGTGAGCGGTCTGTTGTATGAGTCTGGGGAGAGAAGGAGAGAGCAAGGGAGACGGCCCTCCGAAAACAGAAACCCATACTTAGGATATGAAGGGAACCAAAACCACCAGCGACAAAAACCAAAAGCAACAAAACCCGAATGCCCACAAAGGTCCGAGGCCTCTGGTGGCCTCTGGAGACTTCTGAGGTCTCCCCTCCCTCCTCCCGCCTCCGTATGTTCTGGGGGATGCCAACCCATCTTCGGAAGGTTGTCGCGGCACTTGCTCCTTTCGTCAGGTTTCCAATTTCCCTCCTGGGGGGTGGGTGAATTTGTTTATCTGTGCCCCGGCCGCGTGGTCAATAATAGAAAAAAAAAAACCACAAGTCCCTACCTTTCGGAATCGCCGTAGTGCTGTGTGTACCTCGCAGCTGTAACCCACATGCTCTGCACCTATGTTGCCGCTTCTGCGGGATTCAGGCGCGTACTTCACGTCCATATTCGATTGATAAGTCACTTGGTGCGCCGTTGTGCACCAAGGTCCAGCTGCACCAATCGCACTTCACAAAAACCATGGTAAACACATCCCCTGGTTTGCGAGGTCCTAAATACCCGGGACTGGGTTTTCTCAACGATGGGAATATACGCTGTAGATCTTCTCAGTAGGCCGTCTTGTGGCCGACTTGGGGCCTCTTTGGACCTTCTGGAGACGTTCCTGCTGCCCTGGCAGGTTCCAACACGAAGGGCTACGCTGCTGATTTCTGTGTGGGCCATCCTGAGACCGTCGAGGGGTCCCTCCAGGGACCCTCTTGCGACCTTCCTGCGGGTCTTGCAGGTTCCTAGCCCGCGACGACCTCGTCCCGTGCGGTCTGGACCACAGTCCCAAGCCATTCGCACCATCGGACCGCCGTGTCATACAAGGTAGTGGCTCCAGGAAGCTGGGCCCACAAGCAGGGCTCAGGCGCCCCTAAGCCATATTACCTCAAGCCCTCCGTCAGCGTCTGCCTGTCAGGGACGGCTTGGCGCCAGGATCAAGACCTATCCTCAATATCCTCTCTCTTGTTTCTTTCCTTTCCATTCCTCTCCTCTCCTCCATCCCTCCTTCCCTTCCCCTCCTTCCTCCCACCCTCCCCCTTCCACGCTTTCAGGTATCATAAACACGCACCCCCTCCATACATCCATCACTTGCTCCCCACCTCCCCTCCTTCCTCCTACCCCGCTCCATGCAATATTCCCTCGTTCCCTCTCTCCCTCCCTAAAGAAGGCCCGGGAGCACCCGAGTGGGTCCCCACCCCCGTCACCTAGGGGGACCCCTGGGCGTTGGGGTTATGGTCCCTAGCCACAAAACAACGCCAGTTACCCGACACAGCTCCTTAAGAACTGGTCCCGTGGCTTTCCGCCGCGAAGTCTACTAATTCACTGATTACGAATTCTCCCTCCCTTCCTCCCTCCCTCCCTTCCTCCCCCCGTCCGCCCCAAGACCAAGCAACAAGGCAATTAAGCTACTGAGGAACCCCGTCACTTAGTGTACATCTGGCGTGGTGCTTCAACATTTACACTGCGAATGGGGAACAGGGAAACTACCCACGCTCGCTGGTAGCTGAAGCGAGAAACATAAAAACTCGTGGGGATAGCGTGTTCCTCCTCCTTATTCTATGCGTCCTCCGCCTCGTCATCCTCCTCCTCCTCCTTCTCCTCCCCTTCCTCCTCCTCCTCCTCCTCCTCCTCATCATCATGATCCTCCTCCTCGTCATGGGAACCGTCAGTGGCCACTTGGGCTCAAAAGCTCGCTCGCCCCTGGTAGGGGCCATGGCCGACGCGACAGCGGCGGCACTCCTCTCTTGTTGAGTCCTTCTAGTTGGCTGGGCACCGCCTAGCGCAAGCATGAGTCTGCCTGCACACCTTTGCGAGGGTGGGTGGCGCAACCCTTTGATAGGGCGCATTACTTCCGCCACCGCCCCTCACCCGCTCCTCCTTTGGAAGACCACATGAAACCATCAAGTCGGAGGACAGGTTGCCACCCACGGATACAACGTTCAGAAACCAAAACGAGATGTCAGGAGTCTGAGCTGGTTTCGCATACCCTGGTGGCATCGACAATGCGACTGCTCGAGAAACTCCGGCACCTCGTTATATGAATAGCGCGCAGGGGGGCGCCTGTGCACCCCCCGGCCCACGAACAGCACAGGCAACGCACCAGGGCCCACCAACAAGTTAGAAAAGGTTTATTTGGTGTTTCTTACCCCCAGCGCAATCGACCCTGACGCTGGCGAAATCGGCCTGTTCAAGAGCTCTGGGCGTGCGCGCGGGAGGACAAGGAGAAGGAAGAGGAGGAAGAAAGGCAAGTGGAAGATCACGTTCGCTGGGCAATCGCATTCGTGGCAGGGCGTGCCGTGCGTCGAGAATGGCCAATCGGCAACCAGCCATACAACACCAACTCGCACAACCCTAGCACACCCACTTCTCGGCGGTGGACAAATCTCACTTTAGTAGAAAACACCCTTTAGTGAAAACGGCCTAGGATCGAAGCCGACGGACCTGGGCCCGCAAAAGCGACGGCCGCGACGCCCTCTCGCGAACCGGAAACGGCCAATTCGCTAATCTAATCGACGTGTCAGGGCAGGAGGTCGATCAGCCCCCGAACTTCCTGGCACGCCGAGGGCCCTCGGGGACCCCGACTCAGTCCGCGGTCGTTGCGCCCAGCTGCCGGCTTCGCCGCTCTCCAGGCTCAAGAAACTCTGAAGCCAGGCAGACCTGAACGCGGGCGCGAGTGGTGCGGACAAGGCCTGCTCAACCAGAGAGAAGCGACCAACTCCACTCAAGTCACGAATCGTGGCCCACACCGCTCGTCATACCTCCTCCGACCAAGCACATTTTGTTGGTGGGATCTCAGCCTGGCAGCAGCACAACACATAAACTAGGTACTAAACCCGTTGTGGGGGATGCCAGACCGTCGGTCTATCTCCTATCATTATCTGGCTCGGCAACGGCCAAAAAACCGCGGAGGGGAGCAGAGCGGGAGGGAGGAGGGAGAAGGGAAATGGGAAAAGAGGGAGGAGATGGAGACGACACACAGAAGGAGAGGGCAATCCAGCAAGTTGGCTGGGTGATAAATGGCTATACTAAAGGCTGAGTAGGCGCAAGCACACACCAATATCTGTACAATACCCAACCAAATAG